CAAAACAGATCAAACGTCCATCCAGTCTACGTTGTTCTTTTTTTCATTATAACATACAAATGCCCATTTACAAATAATACACCAAAATGAATAAAAGTTTGGATACCAAAATGAAGATTTGTTCCAACTGATATCGTGCCTTCTGTATACAAAGGTCCTTGTTTCAAGTTCATTCCCCCGTGGTGCAATACAGGACACAATTGTGGGACTGAAGTGCTTCTAACAGCCATCTTTCTTTCCTTCCTGAACGCCCAAATGTTGTGTCCACATAGTCACTGACTGAATTAACACAATATATTCTTTCTCTCTCTTTTTTTACTGTAATCTTGGCCAATATTGAGACATATCAGGTTCACTTCCAGGAACTTGAACTGGAACTGACACACCAGGGGAAATGAGTCCTAGAAGTGGATGAAAGAAATAGCCATGTAGATAGATATTCTATTCGAGAGACAAGCATGGAGTATGAATGCCTAGGTTAAAAAAAAAAAAAAATCTAATGCTTTCTAACATTTTAACTGTATTTAAAAATATATATTTTCAAATGTTACAAACAAAAGTAGCACCTTCAGAAACCAGATAACATTTTTACACATCCCACATCCCCCACTCAAAAGGAGGGGGGAAAAACCCCTCCTTTTCTTTGTATGTTTAGAACTTTAGTGATAAAATGATCTCTGGAAATCCACGTGGTATTTCATCAGCTGCAATGAGAAGCAATAGAGGAGCTAGGAAGGTGAGAAGTCTTCCAATAAGCACCCACCATGCAGCTCAGGGGGCCCTCACTGTTGAATTTGGCTAATAATCTCTCCTCAGCAAACTTACAGTCTCAGGTCATGTTTTCATATACAACTTCTGTGACCAAATTCAGGAAAAACGACTTTGCTTTTTGTCCGTATGGTGTCAAGTTTCTAACTAGCTTGGCTGAATTTCCCTTTTCAATCAATTTTCCCCAGAGGAACGAGCAATAAAGAGTTAAACACATTACCACACAAAGCAGGGAGGTTATTTTTAAGTAAATTGTGAGTGAAAGGAGATCACCTGGCAAAAGAAGCTCTGAAGGCCACCTCTGTGCAGCCTGTGGAAAGCAGTGGCTCACCTGTGGAAGTGGTGCCCGAGGTGCCCATTGGCTGACTGTTCATGTGTGTCTGCATATGTGGGGGGGTGTAGGTATCATAACTCCGCCCGTTCACCGAAGGGCTGGTAGGCAGCATGCAGGAGTACGAGGAGGTCTGGCTGGGGACTGGGGGCTGAGAGGAGAAGGCAAATCTATGGTTACTGAGAAGCACATCTCACATCCTGTGGTTACTGAGAAGCACAGCCTCATCCCCAAGCTCCCTTCTCCCCAGGAACTCTGCCAGTGAGTCTGATCATTACAGATGTCCTCATGTAAAGTACTGGAATTCCATGTGATAACTAAGGTCAGGCCTCCAACCAGTCCTTCCAGTGGCCACTGCTAAAGTTGCCTACGCACCGAACTTCTAAAAGTACTATAAATTCAGACAATTGTCCAGCTACGTGCTTGGCACTATCCATAAAATTAATAGGATTTTTGTCTATTTTAATCTTCAGACCTCTGCTGGCATCTTTAGAGAAGGTATAGCATGAGGACTTCCATTAAAACACATCCCCTCTCCTACAAATCCAATCTATTTGGGAATCTAGTTACCCCCCAAATCCCACATCTCAAGCTTTAGGGCAGAGAAGTGGGAGGAGTTCTCTGTAAAGTTCTGTTTAGGGAACTTGGGAGCCTTTCATGGCTAGATTTACGGGATTAAAGATTCTTTGAAGAGGCTGATCAGTCATGATCTCAGATTAAAGTGGTCAGAAGTGTCAGTAAATACCTAGCCCCATCCTGTGAATTAGCTGTGACTTCCTTACAGACCCAAAAACCAAGATTGGGTTTTACCAATAAAATTGTGTTGCTACCCTCTAAATGTTTGGAATGGTGTTATTAAGGAGATAAACCTTCCTCCTAACTAAATAAGAAATACACAGAGCTGGGACAAAACTCTTCATGAGCTCTTATGGGGCTATGCCAGGGCAGCCAGTTTGGGATGAATTAACAGAAGCATGACGTCAGGAACAATGGAGATGATAGCACTACTCTGTCTGCTCAGCCATGTAGAAATGCTTAAGATTTCAAGATCCACATTCTCAGAGGGCATGACACATTAGAGAAGATTCAGAGGAGGATACCCACTCTTTGTAAAGTTGTTGAAGATTTTGATCAACCGGATGAATTAATGGACAGATGGATAAGGCCCCCCCAACATTCTAGCCTCCCCCCAGCTCCAAAATTCAAAGAGTAATTTTCTCTGAAGAGTAGAATCATTGATAATATTTATTTTTATGCTTTATGAATGTATGTACATTTTGAATATAAGTTGTGTAATTTTTAAAAGTCAGGAAAATAAATTGACCCCATACCATTCTATATGTTGAAACAACCCTAATAGAAAGCAGCATCTATTTAATTGTTTCTAATTGTTTTCTCATATACGTATTTATGTTCACAGAAACCTAGATGTTACTACAATTTACAAAACTGAACAAGACACTCAGTGGCCTTACTAAAATCAGATGACTGCTACAATCAAGCTCAAAGAGGCAAACAGGCCTTGAGGGCCCTGTCAGAATTTCAGCTTGCATTTGTTTCTAATTCCCAAAACCACTTCCTCTAGGCAATCTGACTTCTGGAAAATTCCAAGGCAGTTGTAGCAACACCAACTAATGGGCTGTTAATCCCCTAATTTACATTAATGGTACTATGGCCAATAATATCCAGATGCAATAAAAATAAACATGAGAATAATTCCTCTGAAGTTGCTTATCTAGCTGCTCCTATATTAGTCTGAAGACTGGGAAACATTTATTTTGCTGTTATTTGGATTAGAAATCCAGCAAAAGATGTTCAGTGGAGAATAAGCAATCTGTGTAACCCCAGAACTGTTTCCGCAGGGGCTCTTGCTGGCCAATCTCACACCATCCAGCATCTCTAATTGTTGCACAAACAGGAGTCCTGGGAAAGTCACTGCCAGAAGTTCCTCCCAGAAGACCAATTTCTCCCCTCATCGAGTCCATCCAGCTCCAAAGTTCTAGTACACCCCACCTGCGTTATACAACTTCCATCATAAAGGGTTAGCCTGGTACAGGGCCTAGCACACGTAGGGGCTGATAAATATTTGGGACAGAACTGAAAGTAGGGGAAGGCTGTTGTAACAAGTGACTAGCATCAACCCAGGTAGGTCAGAGTGCCACAAACTCATCACATTATTCACAGCAAAGAGACACAAAATTTCTGGCAAATCCTTTCTATTTCTTTTTTTATTATAAGATGCATCTGTCCTTCTCTATTAAGTGTACCCCATTATGCAAATATGAATTCCACACTAGTTTATCACATACACCCTAAATAATGTCCAAAATACACACAGATTATGTTTCTATTAATGTGAACACATTACTATAAACCCAAATTTCATGTACAATCCCTTTACTCTCATACGTTGCCATCATGATTTCTATTTTCTGGTTTCATTGATACCGAAAACATGTCCCATTCCCACCTGTCATTATCAAGCTAACATTCTCTGTGAGCAAAAGGCAGATTAACTTGACTGAACATCAGGTTTTTAATTTTGTTTTTAAGGGCATCAATCAATCAATCAATCAACTCAAAGACTGGATTGACTGTTTTCATCTCAGACTTGACTGGTCAAGCCAATCACTGTAGTGAGAAAGGATCCCAAGGGGACATGCACAGCCAGTGACATCTACAGGCCCCGACCCACGTTTCACTTCCTCTACCACGCACCTGCTAAGCAGGCGGCCACGGGCCTCACTTACTTGCATAGGCAGGTTATTCGCCATGGTGAAGCTGGGCATGGGCGGCAGAGCGCTGTACGTGTTGGTGAGGGCTGTGTCTGTTCGGCCCAACATGGAGCCAGAGGTGAAAGAGGAAACTGCAGAAAAGGGGACATAATGAACAGTCATGGTTAAGCGTCAGAGCCGAGGGCAAAAATGTCCAAACACATTTCTTCGTAGTATTAATATTTCAAGTTACCAGGCGTGGTGGGTTGTGGGATTGGTTGGTAGACGCTGGTGCTGAAACTACTGCTGATAGGAATATGACTAGGTGTGTTGCTGGCCTGTCTTCTCTGATTCCTCAGTTTTTCTTCTCTTCTCCATTTAGCTCTTCGATTAGAAAACCATACCTGGAAATCAGACGGAACAAGTTAGCCCTGTGCCCATTCCCAGTTCCACCCCACCCCTGGCGCTTCTTCTGCCTCCCCCAAAGGTGGCAAGGTATTTAGCATATTGAATCTGTTATTATTTATTTAAACGAATGGCATTTATTAGAAGCACCTTTGTCTCTAAAAAAGGCAAATGGTCTGAATCGCAAAACATGAAACCACACGGTCCCTGGGTACCTGTATTCTTGCTTCAGGTAGATCTATTTTGGCTGCTAGTCTTTCTCGGGCAAACACATCTGGATAATGGGTTCTCTCAAACTCTGAAAGAATAAACTGAATTTGTGCCAGAACTACACATATTGTGTTGACCAAGCTCTGGATCAAGCTGGTTCCCACCTCCCCACTTCCAGCATCTCCGACCCATCCCCTTTAAAATGCTACTACTATTAACATCGACTGTACTTAGAACAACTGTCCCACCAAGTTAAATTTTCTTTGAAGTGACATTCATTCAGGTATGCTTCTGTGGCCTGAATTAGCCAAATCATCATTTTTCCTTTATGAGAAGTCAGGCTTTAGTCTTTTGAATTACTGGTATATGAAAAAAAACATGCACTGAAAAGATGCCCAGAAAAAGAGACAGACGGACAGACCCAGAAAAATGACAAGACAGAGACAGAGACAGAGACAGAGAGACAGAAAGAAAAAAGAAGAAAAAAAAATCTTTTCAGTCCTCTATGCAAAGGGCCCTGGCTAAATTTAGCTCTTTGTACTGAAGATGTGGCATTTACTTTGATTTACTGCTTCTCTACTTTGAAAAACTCCATCACCTTTCTCCAGGGCCTCAATTTGCTCTTGGGTAAAGGATGTTCTATTTCTTTGCAGCTTCCGCTTCAGCTGAAGTCGCATTTGGGCCTCATCTGAATCTTCTCCGTTGGAACTAATGGAGTTGGTATTCTCTCCCCCTCCTTCCTGTTGCTGGCAGCCATCTGGAACAAAAAGAATGGACAGTATGAAAAATTTGGAATAACTTGGGGCCTCCGAAAGTGGTCTGATGTAGCCATAAACTCCGGGAGCAGTATATTCCGACAGTCTTACCAAAACACTCCCAAAATAACTGTCCCCTTTTAATAAAAGACATTAGTGGCATACTTACCTGACCATCATTTTTTTCCTTCGTTTTTTTTTTTTTAATCAAGATGAGAGCATTTCTTAAATAACAAAATAAGTGCTGATGTTTCCAATTAAAACGATCTTTCATAACTAACCCTGACTCTCCAAATGCCTCACCTAGTTCCCGTTCCCTACAGAATTTATTTACCTATGGCTGTGTTGGGAAAATAGAAGAGTGATGTTCAGGATTTCAGCTGATCTATAATCAGTAATTCCTATCTAATCAATTAGATGTTGATAGGTTTGTAGAAAATGCTATTAAGAAACCAAACCAAGCTTGTAATCTTTTTAAAAAAATATTTATCTAGTTTTTATTTGAATTCTGCACAGTCAATTTCATTTTAAAGGTTGTGAATTTAGAAGTGCTCGCATTGTTCTGCAGTTTTATTCAACTATTGTATGAGTGTGCTTTGCCTTGACACCTATTACGAGCACAGCTGTAATTATATCATCACCAAGAACAGGCTATAATTGCTGAAAATGGAATTTTATATTTAGATAAAAGGACTGTCCATTCTTTGTAATGTGTTGCACCAGAGAAAAGTAAGATTTCTTTTAAATTTTTAACGTGTAATTTTAAAAAAGAAATAGTAGAGAGTTCACTAACTAGCTAAATATGCTATGCTGCAGCTGAATCCTTGGCATATCATTTAAGTGGTACATTTTTAATTAGGGCATTTCCACCACTTTTAATGTAATTTCTATCATTAAACAGGGTAAAGTTTTATTGTTTTCCTTTGCTGCTAAAAGGGCAAAATGTGCACTTGGGCTAGCTGTCTCTTGTCTTGCTCCTCGCTCATGAGGCCACAGCCTGTCTGAAGGGAAGCACTCAGCCCTGACTGGGACTGAAAGCTGGGTCCTGGGTCCTGAGGCGCCCAAGGGATTCCAACAGGGGCTGCCCCACCCCCATCCTAGAAACTTGGCCAGTGGAGGGGAGGGGCCTCTAGGGGGCCTTGGTGGGAATCGACTTGGCCAGGAATATCATTTATAACCAGGAGACAATAGGCAGAGCCTTCAAAGAGTTCAGGGAATTGTGACAGGATCTAGTGGGATCTTTTCAGGAACTTTGAAATGTTTTAAAACCCCAACTTTCTCCCCCATTTAAACAGGCGGATTCATCAGCACTGGCCACCATATGGGCCCTTGGAGATCTATTGAGATGACCACCAACACTTGAATAGAGAGGGGCTGCTTTTCAGCTCCGCACAATGCCCCGCGAGTAAGGGAAACTATTAAACTCCTGGGGCAGGAGCGTTGGCAAACTTTCGTGGGCAGAATTTTGAGGCCACAATGAACGCGGACAACAAAAGGATTCTCTTGAGGCGTGCAGCGGGCCACATTGTGTTACAAGAAGCCCAGTCAACAGACTTTTCAGTGAAGTGTGTTAACCCCTCTGCTCCGCTATCATTAATCACTGTCCGAAGAGCGGGCGCCTCAATGCTATTTAGGGCGCTTGGCTGGGGGATAGAGGGTGGATGGGGGGCCAGGACAGGGGGTAGGGGGAGGCAGGGAGGGTCGATGGGGATGGGGCTGGTGTGTGTGAGGGGTGGAGGGGGGGTGGAGGCAGCAGGCTGGAAGGATGGAGACCAGGGTCAGGGGGTAGGGAGGGAGGGTGGTGGCCGGGTGGGGTGGGGAAGGAGTTAAAGAGGGGCAGGGTAGAGGAAGATGGAGGAAGAAAGGGCTACAAAGAGACAAAGGCCAGAAAGGTATAAGAAGGACGGAAGAGGGTGGAAAAAGAGACAAGACGGTAGACAAGAAGGGGAGAGAAAGAGGAAAAGGAAGACGTGGGCAGTGGGAAGGGGGGTGGGAGACAGTATTAGGAATAGGCAGAGGCTCTACTTTGGGTGGTCTTGCGCCATCTCAGAAAGGTGGGGGGTGGGGAGGGCTACTTAGCTCAGGGAGAGACGCTGGACTCACGTGTGCCAACACAAGTCTGTGCTAATTTACTGCCCCAAGTTTCCGGGTGACTTTGCAAAGTATTTTTCAGGGAAAATAAATAAATGAAGAGCTGCCCTTATTTTTGGATTTGGTCAAGAAGGAAGACTTTAGAAATAGCCCTTTTTTGGCCAACTAGATAAGCCTGTAGGTTATTGCTTTTGGAAAACACAAAAATCTGCGGCCATCCGACATTTGGGGACGGGGACCTTGAGAAGACCACAATCCCATCTCCCTGGGGTGGTCAGTCAAGCCTTCCAGAAGGCCCTACCCCAATCTTTTTTTCTGGCACATTCGATCTTGCCAGAGAAACAAAGCTACCCTCGATCTCCCTCAGAAGACCCCCACAGATCGCATTCTCTTCTCTCATTTGCTTCTGACATCTTCCTAATTTTAAAACATGGACATTTGCCCACACTGTCCTCCCTTCCTCCCCCACCTTCCTCACACACATGCTCACACTCAAACTCACACTAATGCAGGAGCAGCACTGACTTGAGAACTGACATTTAAGGGGCGTGAAGTCAACGGAGAGGAGAACTCGATTTTAAACATTTTGGAAGGGGTGGGAAGAGTAAAATTAGAGGCAGGTCGGGAGAAACCCCTGGCTGCAGGATCCCTCGACAACCCCACAGAGTCAGCGCCATTAAAAGATGGTTTTTGTTTTTTCTTTTTCTTTCTTTTTTTTTCTTTTTCTTTTCTTTTTTTTTCTTTTTTTCATTACTTTCAATGTAGCAACGGTTCACAGCCAGGCGGTGACGGAGAGGTCACTCTTGGATCGGGCGCCCTTTTTCTCTTTATTGGGTTTACTTTCCACTCTTAAAGCTTTTAACAAAATAAAACTAGAAGTTGGATCTCGAATTCCCCCACATGATAAACCTAAGTGGCAGACAATTAAGATATCTTCTTTAAAATGCGCCCCCTTGGAGCGCAAAGAAGGAGCCTCTATGGGCGCCGTCCACCTTCCAGCCTAATCCGTGAGAAGGCGAGTGAAAGCGCCTCCCATTATTCCAGCCCCAGGACCATCTGACGCTGGGGAT